TATTCCTCCCGTACCTGGAATCCCTGCTGAATATTTGAATGATCTTTCGGCAAGTTACACACCTAGCCTTCGCCCACGGCAGAGGGAAAGTTTTGCCAGAGGAAGCTATGACCGTCATCAACTCCATGGCGATGGAGATGTGCAAATGGATGATGGCGATGATAGTATGGGAGATGAGGAAGATTATGATCTGCGTTCCCGCGGTCGTTCTGATGAAGACGATGATGGTGTTTTTGGACATATGGAGGAATAACCGCCGGCAAATGTAAATGTGCCAATCGAAGCAACCTTTCAATTGGCCATTGTGATTATTTCCCTTTTCTTCTCCTGTAGTAGCAATGTAATAAGTAAATTCGGTCGATTCTTAGCACCAATGTGTGGGGGTTTGATCCACTGAGGTTAAAACTAAGAATCGGGTTGATCTACCAGAACAATAAAATCAAATGTTATCAATGAAAAGAAGATACTCAACAGCCAGACGTGCAGATTCCTAATGTCAATGCCATTTGATACCGATTTTGATGGTGAATATGATGATAGTGATGCTGGCGACGATATCGATGTATTTAAGAGTGGCATATCGAGGCATATTGTATTGTCAAGCACGCAACTACTTGCAAGTCCTCTTTCAATAGGGTTTCATTTCCCTTTCAGATAACATCACTGGGCTTGAGGCTTTTAGATAGCACTTGCTGGACATTGGTTGGGTAGGGTGCGGCATGTTATCTAGGTCTGGGATAGAGTTTCTTGACGGAGAAGAAAGAAGTTGGCAAATGATTAGGCGTGCAGTAGTCATAAATGGAGCGGATGTAGAGGAAAAAGCAAACGAAGCTATTGTACAAATAGATGAAAGCGTCAGAGGTTTAAGAAGAAAGCAAAGCAAAACAAAATATCAATTGGATTTCATCTTTCAACAACCTGAAGCAAGACGACTTTACTTATTTAAATTAGATATCAAAATTTTCGATGTGGATACCAATTGAAAAAAGTGAGAAAATTGTAATGAAAAAATGGTGGTTGGCAGAACGACTCTTGTATACAAGGAACTGGATTGATGATAGCTCACCGGTAGTGACGTCTTGGTGTCCAAGCTCAAGCTGCATCATGCAAAGCAAGCAAAAAATTCGCATGGGCAGAACATAACTTTACAATTATACATCAAAAGAATCAATTCAACGATATAAAATCAAACGATCAAACTCAAAACTCTTGTTGGTTTGTGATCATTGAAAGAAAAATTGAAACGTGAAAAGAGTCTTTTATATCTGCGGGATAAGCGCGCCAGTCCTAGGAGACGCGTTGGTTTTGTTTATTTGCTGCCGGACTGGGTTGTTAGGAAACGACAGACGGGTATGGTACTTTCATTTGTTTATATGATCGATCAAACTTAGTTATTTACAAGTACACAGGATCTTAACACATAAAACGATTCTGAGCGAAATATACCAGATCGAAAACAATAATAGTAAAGGAAAAGAGGAGATAATGGCTCCAGCAACACGATCACTAAGAAGAGATAAGGTCGAGAGCTTAGCAGACAGTGCAGAGGCGGCAGCGGATCAACTTGTCAATGGAGATTTGAGCCATCTGCAAAGGGGTGATGATTTGGACGAATATTACTCGAAGAGGGAGGCAGCGAAGAGAGAAAATGATGAGAATTCAATGCTTGTCAAGTCAATGCTGGCCGACTCTGGATTCTCACAGCGGAAACCATCGAAGGTGCCAGATCTATTGAGGTTTCCCTTAGTAGTGGTTCTCAGTTTGATGGGAAGTGGGTTGGCTTATAGTTTGCGTGCGAATTATGTTGAGGCAGAGGAGTTGGGAAGCGTTAGTAGGAGGTATCAGGGATGGGAAGAGGCGGCGGGGTTGGTTGCGTGGAGGACTGCGGAATTGGCATTAGGTTGGTTTGGTAATTATGATGGCTATGATTTTGCGGCTATGACTTTGTTGTCTCGTGGTCCTCCAGTAAGTTTTTTTTTTCTCTCCAAATTTCTGCCCCACTATCAAATTGCGCTCGTAGTTGTGATGAGTATGTACTGATTTTTGGGATTTAGTTGTATCTTCTTAACGCGTTCTATGAAGTTAGCGTGAAGACTGTTGTATCGTCTCTGCTGATCGATACCCTCACAACCTACATTCCATTCCGATTACTTCGACCTCTTTCTCCCGCTCACGCAGACGCTCCATCTGTGCCAAACCGAGATATTACTTCAGATATTCCTGTTCAGATCATCACTACACTCCTAGCGGCATCTATCTACAGCGTCACTCTCTACGGTGCATACATGTCCTATATGCCAGTTTACCTTGCTACCTATTTCGAAGGTATCCCATCTATTGCCGCCGCTCATTCCGCAACACCTACTTCTCTCCTTCCCGTTATGTTACTTTTAGGCCTCGCAACACGTTCATTCATCTTCACCCCAGTTACAGCCACCAAGCCTTCAGACTCAGTACCTCCGCCATTCAACCCTGAGACTGCTACGTTGGAAGAGACCATTCTTTATAATTTATGGGGCTTTTCGAACAAAACCAGAATCATTATCAAGAGAACGGCTACTTTGATGATGATTACAGGTGTTAACACCTTTTTGCAAACGTATGTTACGGTTGAGGGGGTTGAGGCGCTCGGTGCTGTGGCGTATTCGGGTATCTGGGTTGTGGCTGCGGGAATTTGTGGGGGTGTATTGGGGTTTGTGGGTGCGGTTTAGGGAGGAAAATGTGATGCAGATTTGATGGCTTGACGTTGAGAGAAGTCGGAGGACGGGTAGGTACATTAGGGGAGACGAAGTAGAGAATTACTGTACATGGAAGAAGACGCATATGGATCTCGCTATTTCCTCTTTTTGGGATTTATTGATTTGGCGGAGTATAGCTGACTGGTTGAAGCGAGCCTTTTTTGATTTTTTTCACTGGCTTGAGATAAAGGGGAATATGTTCACATGTTTGCTTATCGACACGGCGAGAAGGGCTAGGGGATCAATCTACTCATCCGGGGGGAAATAATCATAAACACTTTCAAGTAATAGTTGGCGGGTGTGATGATTTGTTTTACCGTGTTGTATTGTATTCTTTATGGTTTTGATTTCTTGAAAAGGAGTGCTGATGGATGATTTTGATGGATATTGTATGCCGGTATCAAGGTTATTTCTAAAAATAGATGCATGTATTGATTTCAACAAAGGGGTATGGGGTACATCTGTCTGTATACCTTTGATACAAGAATGAAGGGAAGTGAATGTGAATTGAATGTGAATTGAAACTTATTGCATTGATAGACACCTGGGTCGGTACTTGTAGATGCTTTGATAAATGATATTGTATTTGTCCATATTTTACAGGACCAGGCTGACATTTGAGATGCGAGAGTGAGCAGGCATTTTGTTCCTTTCAGATCATATTGTGTAATCTTGTGACCCATAGCTTAACCGCAATTTCAAGACAAGAAGGGGGGAAGGGCTGATGTGAATAAAGGGTGAAATGGTAAATCGTAAATGGGAAGGTGCAAACAATCATTTTAAACGGATCAGATTATAATAAAACATATTGATAATCACTAGCATTGGAGCATTAATTAAATATTCATCGTCTACATCGATTCCCAAAACAACCAAGATACATCATCCATCAATTTCATACTCCATACGCATTCAAAGTGCTTTTACCATCTCAGCCTTCCTTTTCCAGTTGATTTTATTCGTCATCAGCTCCATCCATCAGATTCAGCCTTCGACACCTACTTGACTCCTTTCTGTATGATCTAGATACCGTACAGATTCCGTACAGATCCCATCCACATTGCCACGGTCACGGCCACGGCCACGGCTTCTCCTGCTGCTACTTTCTTCTTATCTTTTTTGGGGCACATCTACCTACCTACTACATACTTATTACTCACGGCGGTACTTGTTATTGATATATCTGATATATCTGAAATATCACGAAACAAAGCCTTGGAACCCATGACACCTTTTGGCATATTTTAATAATGAAATATGTAGGCTTCGTAATACACCCAACCCCAATCTAGGATTTTTTAAATTGTCTTTGATTCGACTAAAGATCTATTCTATTCTGGTCGTCAACTTTACCTGCCTATTATTATTTGCCATCACTCTCAGTATTTTATCACGGTATTTGCAATTACCACTGTACATACCACCCATCCACCCATCCACACATCACACCCATCACACCCATCCATATACACACACTCTCTCCCTTCCAGAGCCTCATCGATATCGCGTCTCCTCTGCTGCAAACTTAAAACAACATTCGATCCGACCAAGATAGAGAAGAAAATAGCATCCCGCTCTCCCAAACAAACATGGCATCCGATGCATCCAGAAGGTATGTTTTTTGATGGAAGCTTTCCTTCCCCCTTTTTTTTTGTTTATTTCCCATTTACCATATTGTACTTATTTTTACCCTTTTTCCCCATAACTATCGGTACCTTGATACTATTTCGATCTACCTACGTAGATACCTACATTAGCTGTTTTCATAGCTTCCCCCTCCCCTCCACAAAAAGCACGTGCATTTTTATGTTATGCTACATGCTTTTTCCCTTGACTTTGGCCTTTGGGCTTTGCCTTCCTGTTCCCGCCGCTTTGCAAGAAAAGATGGGGACCAATTGGGGGACCGATTGGGGGGCAGAATAAGAGCCAGCCAGCCAGCCAGCCAGCCAGCCAGGTACAAGCAAGGTCCCAAATATTATAAAGGGAAAAAGGGCAACCAGAAGAACAAGATATAAGAGGCTCAAGGCAAATTATCGGGGAAGAAAAGGCAAAAAAAAAAAAAAGACCCAAGATCCAAAATCCAAAATAACACCTGCCAATGATCGCAAAGTAGGCGTTAGGTAAGGATTTGGATTGGTGACAGTATCGCGCTTTACAATTTGCCGATAGATTTTCGCGTTTTTTAGTTGCTTTCACGACAGATTATTACTACACTACACTACACTACATGCCTGCCTACCTACTCCGTACTATTTCGGTCAATATTTCATCACTTATCTTTTTCTTACCTTTCCTTAACAATTGACTTTCGACCAATTTTTTTGAACGACATACTCTGGATTCTGGAACTTTTTACTAATTTGTTTTTTTCTTCTCTCTTTTAGATGGCTTGATGAGTCAGGTATTTGGAGCTGTCGAATCAAGGTCCCACCACAATCGCATGTCGACAATTCAAGAGCAATCGATACTATCAATTCCAACATAAACTCCATCAACGTGGCCGCAAATAATACAATGGATGCCGCTCTGGAGATGACAAGTCCTGGCCGCAAGGCCAAGCTCGCGGAAACGATCCAATCTATGGCAAACTTGAATAGTAACATTGAGAATATGGAATCACCTATGGATCCGGATGCACAGGCAACAATCACAGACTTTCTCGATTTCACGGAATATCTACCTTCTGATTTGGTTCGGTCATTGGCACTCATTAGTGACCTCGATGAGAAATATGTCAATGCCTCGTCGAACTTGAATGACTTGACAAAAACCTATGGTCACCTCCCCGATCTTCCTGCCGATACAAAACCTGACCCTGTCTCTTTGCGAAAAGATATATCTACCAGCTTGACTGATGCCCTCGGTGCACGTACATTGGCTTTCGCAGAGGCGTCACATCTGGTTGAGAACGTGGAGAGACATTACAAAAGGGCCCAGAACATATTGGCGAAGCTTCAGACCATGGCAGAAAACTATCCCGAATCTCGAGAAACAAGTCCTGTTCCGCAGAAGCCAAATTCCCCGGTCTCAAATCGATTGCCAGGAAAATTACTTTTGCGAACTGGAAACCCGGATGGTCGTATGCGTGTTCGCAAACGACGCGCGCCAATCATCACTGTTCCTGGCGAGGTCATGGCTCCATATGAGCTCGACTACGATTCTTATGATTCGTACAGTGATGATTCGGAATCCGACGCTGGCCCACCCACACCGCGTCGGCAGACACCTGCGAGATCCGCATCGGTCAATCCTAAGATCAAGTTGAAGGTCAAGCCAGCCAAGAAAGAGAAAGTACCAAAAGCCCCCCGGACACCAAGGCCCCCTGGAGTTATGGGAACAAACGTACATAGCGCGGTTGCCGGAATATCGACAAGTAACGCACTAGCGAAACTCCAACCTCCACCACCGGATGCGAAAGCGGGAACCGAAGATGCGCCTTGGCTTCAGTTGACCGCATGGGAGCTTGCGAAGCTCAGAAAGAGAATGAAAAAGAATGCGGTATGGAGCCCGAGCGATACAATGATCGCACGTGAATTAAAACAATTGGGACGAGGAATTGAAGCGTATCGTACTGCAAAGAGTAAGGCTGACGCTGCAGGACAGCCTTTCGAACAATCGGTACCACCCCAACTCACCGGGAAGACAGTTATCGCGGAAGGTGCTATAAGTGCAGAAGCCTTAGGCACAGAGGAGATACAACTTAGCAATCGTGGTATGAAGCTTAACGAAGCCAAGAAATTAAAGAGAGAGGCAGCCGCAAAAGAGCTTGCCAAATTGGCGGCTGAAGAAGCTGAAGAATCTGTACGAAAGATGACAGAAGCTGCTAGTACAGTAAAGAGCCTTTTTGGGAATCATCCTGAAGAGGAGAAGAAAGAGAAAGAAAAAGAAAAAGAGAAAGAGAAAGCTCCTACTAAAACACCTAAGAAGCAGCCAGCATCGAAAAAACGAAAACGCGAGTCCACAATCGAAGATGTAAAGGCGAATGGCGAGGCAAACCCATCGAGTATAGATGGCATAACTGACACGAATGACGCTCAAGGTGATAAAGTGAATGAAGTAGATTCTTCGAAATTAGGTAAGCCTCAATTCAAGAGAACGAAGACTGAAACCCCGGTTCCACCCCCTCATCCCATCATCACAAATGCCACTCCCCGCGCCACTCCTGTACCAACTTTGGAATCTGCCGTATCCGTGGCATCTTCCATTGCTCTACCAGTACCAGCTACAGATACACCAATCAGTTCTACTCCGGTTGCATCAGTAACGGCTTCATCACCACCAAAGTCTTCGACGCCAATTCTTCCTCCGGGTGCGGAAAAGAAGGAGGCCAAGAAAGAGGCGAGAAAAGCAGCGGCGGCTGCTAAAAAAGAAGCCAAAGAAGCCGCGAAAGCAGTTGTGGAATCGGAATTGGCAGAAAAGAAGGAAGATCAAACATCGGAAAAGCTAGAGAAGACAACTAACACACGTGCCACTCGAAAAGCAACTCCGGTTGCTCAAGTAATTGAACCCACTACACCACCAGTATCAGAACCCCTCCCAGCTAAAAGACCAACATCTTCTCGTGGTAAAGCAGCCGCTGCAAAGGAAGCGGTAACTGCCGCTGCCATCAAAGCAGAAGAGCCCATCTCTGCAGCTCCTATGCCAGCAGTACTAGATCGCCCTAGACGCACTAGCACAGCTCGTAACACACCGGCACCAGAAACCCGTCAACCGAGCAAAAGAGCAAAAAGGCCTGCTCCAGGTGTTGTAACTCTTACTACAGAAGGCGGATCTACTGCTGTCAGCGTTGGCAAGAGACGTGCTGCTCCACGCAAAAAGGCAGGACAGAAAAAGGAAAAGAAAGATGGAAGAGAAGGCAGTGCGGTCCAAGAAGTTTTGGATGAGGTAGATGATGATGGAAATTTGATTGATCCAAACGAACAGAGATATTGCATCTGTAACCGGGTTAGCTTTGGCACGATGATTGCTTGTGAGAATGATAATGTGAGTCTTCCTTTCCACAAGAGGTCTGTGTCTTGGTTTGTATTGAATATGGAAGAGAGGAAGGGAAAGGAATAAGTAGAGACGGTACGAGACGAGATGAGACTAATGATTGATTGATTGATAGTGCGAGAAAGAATGGTTTCATCTGGAATGTGTGGAAATGACGGCTGTTCCTCCTAGAACCACTAAGTGGTATTGTCCAGATTGTAGGATTATTTTGGGGATTGGTGAGAAAGGGGAAGTCAACGCTAGGGGGAGGAAAAGGTAATGGGTGGGCTGGGATAATAATGGGTGGTAGCTTTGCTGATTGGCTAATTAGCTGATTAGCTAATATGGAGTTTACAACATGGCTGGCTGGTTTGATTGATAATAATGACTTTGGGAATTGGAATGATTGCATACTTGCTTGCATGCAATAGAGGCGATGGGTCATGAATTCATGATGTTTTCCTTGCAATCTTGGTCCGGAGAGTGTATGATTATGTATGTATATTGTATGGATGGGAGATGAGAGATGGGAAGTGGGAAGTGGGTAGGGCGATTTTGTGATACTCTGTCCCATTTGCTGGCTGGCTGGCTGGCTACTGGGTTGGTTGGTTGGTTGTTTGTGTGTGGACGTATGTGTATCAACAATTAATATCATATGCACGAGTGGATAGATGGAGAGATGTAATGGAAGTGTATTAAAATTGTAGTGGATATCACATTCTACATCTTTGCTGATATTCTATGTAATTTATTCATGTATTCTGATCTTATATGATACCAGCAGAGTAGCACCATCTTGTTATTGCCCTTTTATCTCAAGTAAATCCAGGAACCTCGATATTGAACTTCTCTCCGTTGATGCCCCAGTGCGATATGGATCCGCCGCTTCCGAAGAGGAGATCGAGTTTTTGTTCGCGGTGCCAGATGAATCTTTTTTTGTTTTTGTTTTTGTTCTGGTCGGGTAGAGTTTGATGAAGTACTGGGGGTGGGTGGGGGGTGTTAGAATTTGGGGTTGGTGGATGATGGGTGGATGGGTGGATGGTTTATGTTTGAGGCTTTACTTGGTATTGCGTACTGTGGAGAGGAATTTGAGGCGAGGTGGGGGTTAAGAGATGCAGAGGGCAGAAAGGATAGGATAGGGTAGGGTAGGATGGGAGAGTGAAGGGATGGATACATACGCAAGGGAGAGATAGGCAAGAAAGGAATATATTCATACCAAAATTTTATGTTCGGGAATCCATTCCTCGTCCATGGTATCGAGTTTCCAGTCGGAAGCATTTTTGAACATGACGCCGGCGTGGCGATCGCGATAGCCAATCAGGTGGTTTTCGATGGAGTAGGAGGGGTCGTGGAGGAGTCGGTGGAGAATGTCTTTTGCGGTGCGGAGGGGAGGGGATTTTTGTGTGGAGAGGGGGGTTGGGGTTGGGGTTGGGGTCGCAGAGGGAGTGGGAGTGGGAGTTGGGTAGGAAGTTGAGAGGGAGGTGTTGGGTGGGGTGATGGAGGGATGATGGAAGGTACGGGTGTTGGGACGGAGATGGAGATGGGCTGTTTCGAAGGATGAGGTATGCATGGTGTAGGATAGATAACCTTTTTGATTTGGGGGCGTGGATTTGTCTTTCTGGAGTGAGGAAAGCCATTTTTCGAGGGTTGGATTGAGGTCTAGGGAGTCGAAGTTGGTTAGACCGAGGAGAAAACATCCTTCGTAGAAGGGAGAGGAATCATCTGCTTCTTGATCGACTAGGGGCTGGGGCCATAGATGAAGGATTGAGGGTGAAGATGAAGATGTGAGGTTTGTTAGAGCTATAGAGGGGTTGTTAATATCGTATTTCAGTTTATGGAAGAAAGGAATGAATGATGAATGGATAGGTCAGTGAAAATACTTACAGCTCCTCAAGGCAACCAATCTATCACCAAGCATATCCAACCATCTTCCACATTCCAGCGAGGAAGTACCTGAATACACGAAATCTATCTGAATGATATCTTCACCCAAAAGTTTAGCCAGCACATCTTGTTGTTGAATACTGGCGAGAAGGTGTTTCCAATATGAGAAATGAGAATAACTTTCTGTGGGGGCACTTTCGATGATGGAATGCATGAGCTGGAATTTTAGGCCGAGGAGTTCGAGGGTTGATCTATCTACATTTTGAAGATGGTAGAGATCATAGGTGTTGATCCATTGAGTGATTTGGTCTCTTTGGTGTGATGTTAGTGTCCATGTGGTGATAGGAAAAGGAGAAGAAATTTACTCGGTTAGATGTTCATCTTCGTCATCGTTGAAGAGACCGGTACCACATTCCATGTGATAGGGTGTTAGGTCAATTCCTGGAACTTTTCCATAGTAGGTGAAAATTTTACGGATTGTAGTTTTGAAGTCGAGGTTCTCTTGGGATGATTCTGATCCGACGCCTGATGATAGGGAGGCGATTATCGAATTTTCCCAATTTTGATCCGTGGTATCTGAAGCTTTGGGTTTCACATGATATTGTTCGGAACCTTGTGATAATGCATGCCGTAAAAGGGCGATGATGGAAATGGAAGTAAGACTTCCAATATTGGAACTTCCATAAAGTCCTTGAACCGTTGCCCAGGCTTTGATGTAGTGGTAGACATGGTGTAGAGTATTGTCTATGCTGACTGTATCATGTCAGATTGGCATTTCTATATTTCTGGGGAAGTATGGCGAATGGCCAAGAAATGGAGATAAAGTTCTGAGAGGGGTTTAATCAGATAGGAGCTTACACTTTTGAGCGAAATCGGTCAGCCAAAGAATTCTAATGGCTCGTTTTGACGACCATTCGTCACAGTATTGGAGGGCCGCTAGTGGAATACCTTGAGGCGATTTGTTATGACTATTTGATATGTGAGCAACACTAAACGTTTAAACAGCCGTTGCATGAGTGGAGACTCTTTCGATAGGTATCTAAGGGGACACTTGGCAGCATACATTCTTCTCACAAATGGCTCGCAACAACCATATTGAACCTCGAAAGTGAAGCTATTGATTTGTACAACAAAGACCGGATGTGCGCCTGGCTGAACCGATGACACAACAATATTCGCATCCGGATACTCAACCTGAGCCTTTTGCATTGCCTCCCAAAAGACGTCTATAAACAAACTTGCCGAAATAGTTCCAAAAACTACGCATTCCAATGTTTCGTTTCTTGTCGTACACTGTATGGCGTGGCTTTCAGTAGCAAAACAGACAAGCTTTGGAAGGGCGCCAATGCGAGCACGACGAGCGCTTGGAATACCTCCTTGATCTTGGCTATCAAGGTGCTCTTCTGGACCCGCAAGGCTCGGATCCAAAAGTTTCTGCAATGTTTGGAAAGCTAGATTAGCTTCTTCCCACCATCCTGGAGTAGGGACGTGGAATTGGTCTTGGAAGTATTGCGTGAGTATCAACTCCTCATTGTTTGTGTCGTCTGCCATGGGGAAAGTGTGGAGGGTAAAAATAGCTCGAATTGTTCAGAAATAGAAATGAATTGGTTTGAAGGGGAAGGAAATAAGATCTGTGTACAATACTTATTGTTTGAATGATACAGAAATAGAAAGAAAAGAATGAACTTTTTGTATCTTATTCTGATGTAGGGATTCGACAGAGAGCTTGCTTTGCCTTTAACAATTTTGGAGTATATTTGCTACCTTACCTATGCATCAGTGCTTACCTTCAATTCTGCCTTGGTGGCTTCTCAATTTACGAATCTTGCAGCATTGAATATACGAGAAGAGTCATCGTCGCCAGTCCCTCTCTAAAAATGAAGGATGTGCATTTTTTTCTCTCGGCCAGTGAGTCATACAACTTTGTACGTGCAATCAAATTGCAATACAAATCGAAGGGCATCGACATTTTCCTTTGCAGTACTCCTCCGTCTCCGTCCGCGATCAGATAATTGTTAGAATAATAATAGAATATGTGGTGAGCAGAGATACACTTAATTGGCCAATGACACAATCATAGAACTCTGGAAGGGAAATGGAAACAAGAGAAATAAATTGGCATGAGAGTGGAAAAGCTTGGTGAATGGGCGGAGGAATGACAAGATTGTGGGTGGCCAAGGTCTGGGCAGTACGTAGTCGAGATTTTAATGGAGAAATGATTGGTGATGAGGAAAAACATATGAGCATACCGAGTCTGAGAGAGTATATCCATCCGTATAGCCAAAGGACGGTGTTTCATAAATCATTCAGGTATGCATATTTATTATGAATGACCAGTGTATGCCCACGGTATGGCCATCCATGGTATGAGACTCCGTCTTCGTACATCTGCAGCATTGGAATGGATATGGGGATATTAAATTAAAGCGCTCAGTCAGTCAGCTGAAAGTGCAAAAGGGGTGGATCATCCCACCCCGCATAAATGGAAGAAAGCTTGAGAGAAATGAGTTGATTATTTGCCGATACCTACCTACTGTTTCCGTACTCTGTACTCTCATCGCATCAATCGAGTGACACTTTGTTCAACGGAATCTTACCACTTTCGACACACGGAGTTTCCATAGGGTCTTCTAAGATGTGTGATGGTGACATACTCGTATAGATACGAGACAAGCTGACAAGTTAGCTGATGGCTGGTCGTCTAACGGAAATACTATTCGAGTCTGGTATAGTATGAACGGCGTCTTTGAGAGGAGTGTGAGGAGTGTGAGGAATTTGAAGCATTCGAGGCAATAGGAAAGCCAACTTTGAAGGATTCGATTTATTAAAATCCATCTACTTTGGTATGTATGCCTCTTGTGAGATAATTAATACCATGCCTTTCTTTGACCTACCTCGCCCACACTGCACGTAGGTACTTGAGGATAATATCAATTCAATCTCATTCCATCCCATCCACTCAGCTGCCTCTTCTTTGCATACCTTCATAGGTACTATACGTAATGAGAAAGTATGGTACGATGTACTCGAATTAGAAGACGTCAAGTGTAACCACCGGGGCCTGCATTATGATCCAAATTGAATCTCATATACAGTAATAATATCATCTACGTTCTATACCGTGACTAGGCGCAATTCATCTCTCTAGGTCAAACTCTATATAGTAGAGATGGATACCCAAGGTAAAAGATAAAGATACAGTATCGTCAGTATTGTGAAGCTTATTTATTAATAAATGTAACCGAACACTTACCTAGTATGTATGTAGAGGTATACTTCTTGACTTGTCTAGACTCAACTACCAGACTAATAAGCACTTGGGATCCTTTTCTCCATCATACCATCCCGTCATACCTACACCGTACTCATCCTAATACATTAAACTTTTTGTTCCCAAATTCACCCAGAGACAGATGGTGTGACGGTCATTTCAGATTGAATCATCTTGTGAACATGAAACTCTTGAGGGGACAAATGGAGAAGGTGCAAGAACATGATAAGATAAAAAAGGTCAAGTTCAACGTAAGAAAACACAGCCCAAATACCAAGACAATACGCAGAGCCAAGAGAGCCAAGTTTCTCCGATCTTGGCCTCGGGCGCAATCTCTTGGTTGGAAAAGGCTCGCAAAAGTGATTGGCAATTTGGGGCAATTTTCTTACTGCCTTTGCACATGTTCCTTCCATACACGCCAAGAAACATCAGCCAATCAAATAATCCACTCAAGTTTGATCCGAGTGGAATGCCAAGAGACTAGGAGTGGAAGCCAAACTTAATACGGTCGCCAAGAGTTCTTGCCAAGACTTGGTCCCGCCCATGGATTCCGTTCTTCTTACAAGAAGGCACCAAGATCCTCCCTTTGCTTGGATAGCTCTTGAGAGAAACACAATTCGAAAGAATAAGAGTTTCCTTCTTTCTTTGACTTCACTTTGCCATCTCTATTTTATCAAAACGTTGCACTTTTATCGATTAAGTTGCTTCCATCAATCTGATATTGATACAGCCAAGACCCATACCCCTTTTGGATAAACCTATTTCCATACACAGTCTAGTCTGTGACAGCCTCCATTAACCGACTATCCTTCATTGGTCGATCTGTTTGATCTATTCCCCAATTCACAATGTCAAGTCAAGACCAGCAGCAGCAACAGCAGCAACAAACTGCACAACCTCAGACTTCGACAGCCTCGAGTTCCAATGCAGAAGCTACCTCCACAGTAACTCCATCAATTCAACAAAATGTTGTATCTGATGATAGTTTACTCTGTCAATGGGAGAAATGTTCTGAAAGATGCCCTACTCCAGAATCTTTATTTGTATGTCTGGTTGTGTTTGGTTTCCATAGTTCTATACTATCATACATTGCATCATTCCAAAGTCTTCATACTTATACTCTATCTTAGGAACATATCTGCGAGAAACATGTTGGTAGAAAAAGTACCAACAACTTAAACCTCACTTGCGGCTGGAACTCATGCCGTACTACTACCGTTAAACGCGATCATATTACATCTCACATTCGTGTGCATGTTCCACTCAAACCTCACAAATGCGAATTCTGTGGAAAAGCATTCAAGCGTCCTCAAGATTTGAAGAAGCATGTCAAGGTAAGATGGAGAGCTGGCGTGTATCCCTTCGGCTGTGCTAATGTATACTATCAGACGCATGCCGATGATTCCGTTCTATTGAGATCTCCAGAACAACCTGGTGGCCCAAACGGAGGCTATAGACAACCAGGTGGCAAAGGTACGTAAGGGCGCAAGTTGCCTTTTGCTCATTTAAATGTCTCTAACTTTTCTCATGTAGTAATTGCTAATTTGCAGCACCTTGCAGCAAACCCCATGGGTTATTATGACCATAATCCTTCAATGCACCCTGGTTCCGGGATGTATGGCAATTCGCACCATGGCGGTCACAGTGGATATTATGCACCCGCCCATCCCCCACCATCTTCATATGGAGGAGGCCCAGGCTATTACCAGATGTCTCACAACCCCGACCTTAATCAACACGCAGCTTGGGATGAGAAAAAGCGAAATTATGAAAACTTAAATGACTTTTTTGGTGCTGCTAAGCGTCGTCAAATTGATGCCAATTCTTATCAACAAGTTAACCAAAGGTTGATGGCATTACAAGGCATTCCTATCGGAGGTGGAGCTATCCATGAGTACATTCATTCCACACCTCAATTAGTTCCAACTGATGGCCATGGAGGTCACGGTGGTCATGGTGGTCATGGAGGTCCTATTCCACAACACCAATATTCCCTACCTCTACCAAACTTGAGGACCAAGAGTGATTTGAATTCCATTGATCAATTCTTGGAGCAAATGCAATCAACAGTCTACGAAAGTTCAAATGCAGCAGCAGCAGCAGGCATTCATCAACCCGGTGCTCATTACACTCACCAGTCTATCAACTTCCGTCAAAGTCACTCACCACCACAAACTCAAATTCACAACATTGGTTCAATGGCACCACATGTTTCGACTTCTTACGCTTCAGCACCAATGACTGCTACCCACTCATCTCATTCATCTGGTACACCAGCTTTAACACCTTCCTCAAGTTCCGTTTCATATACTTCTGGCAATTCTCCAATGTCCTCAAGTGGATTGTCTCCCATCTCTAGACACAGTTCCACTTCAACTGCAGCATACCCCAATCTCCCTGCAGTATCTCTCGGATACTCTCCACATCACTCAGCAACTGCACCAACATCTACACTTGGCACAAACTTTGATAGTGATCCTCGCCGTCGTTACTCTGGTGGTATACTTCAAAGAAGTGCTGGTGGACTCAACTCTAGTCAATATCGCGAGTCTATGGAGACCGCTACTATTAGCTCTCCATCGCCATCTCCAAAAGAAACAACTCCTCGCCCTGAGTCTATTGTTCAAACTGATGTCACAAGTAACATTGATCCAGCTCTTTCCGTAACTTCACCTACAGTCAGATCAGTTGATACCCTCGAAAGTGCTCGCGATAGAGCTGAAGAGGCATGGATCGAGAACATTCGTGTCATTGAAGCTTTGAGAAGATATGTCAGTGACCGTCTTCAAAATGGAGAGTATGTCAAGGATGAAGAAGAGGCTTCTGCAGCCGATGTTGATATGAAAGATATCCCAACAAAGACGGAAGAGAAGCCATCTGAGAGCTTGTATCCCGTTCTAAAAACAGATGACGATGATGAGTAGTTGATTTTTGAGTATCATGAGGTTGTATCGATCGGGTGGAGTTTTCTGGGATGGTTGCTTGCTATATCATGGGCTGAACGTCGCTTCAATACAATTATATCATAGGGATAAGGTGGCGCTGGTATGGATGGAGTACGAAATTTATTCAGCACATTGGTCGGTTGCTTGCTTTGATCAAAATACGGAGAATGATACGGGGGTTTTATGGTTTCTTAGGTTTATTATTTATTTTTTGATGAATGGAATAGCCTTCTCATTAAATGGAGTGTAGTATATGGATGAACCAGTACATTATAAACCTTCTAAATTATGCCTATCAAAGTTTAAAGTGATTCTACACTGAGCTTGCATGTGTATGTCCGACGAATGTTTATGACGAGATGAGATCTACTCGGGCCCGTGAGGCACCCCACATTTCAAGCTCCCCGAAGCACCCCACCCTGACAGCATCTGCAAAGGATACGTTTGTCATTGACTTTCTCATCACACACTATACATTGTTCTCAAGGCATTTCGTTGATTCATCATCACCTCATCATCAGTACCTAGGTAGTTAGTAAAGATGTCGCAGCATTCATACAAATCGGAATATCCGCAAGGGGTTGAAGTGGATGAGGGGATTAGGGAGTTTTTTGAGGCGTTTTATAAGTTGAGTGATACGGAGGAAAAACACGAGGAGTGAGTTGAGATTTTTTTGGTTCTTTTGTTCGGAGAGTTTTGGAGAGGAGCTGAGTTAGGGATGAGATGGGATGGGATGGGATGGAATGGGAGGGGCGAGGAGTAAATGGATGTTTCTTATGTTTCTTGAGAAGGGGGTGGGTAGAAGGAGTGAGTGAAAGAGGGGATCGGGAACTCCGGGTTTCGGAGGCTTGGATGTTTGGAAGGGTTATGGTGTGGGGGGGATGTGAATGGAACTTTGAGGGTGGAAAGGAATGAGTTTGATATCCTGGAATTGGGGGACTGAAGGGAAAGCAAGAATTTGAGTGATGGAGAATTCTAGAGATGCAGATGCAGATGGATGGGTTTGAAGTTGGATAGAGTGGTGGGCCAAAAGGATCAAGCTAATATGTGGATGCGTCGATAGGTATGCAAATCAATTTGCTGAAGATGCGGAGGTAGTCATGGGGATTAAGAGGGTTAAGGGGAAGGAGGGTGAGTTTTGACTTTCGTTTTTGTTTTGCATTCTTTGGTATAGATGGAGGAGATATGATGGGGGAGGAGTTGGGGGGCTCACGAGGTTTGGAGGATTGGGCAAAAAATGCTTTTTTTGTACGAAATGAGGATGAGCGAGTAGAAAAGGGGATAGAGGATAGGACTTCAAGACTTGATGAAGAAAGGAAAAGGCTAATATAAACCTTTAGAAATCCTCGCTTTTAGAAAGGGCATGTGGGAAAAGGTCGCAAGTCGTTTGCATACGGCCCATAAAATCTTTCCTTTTGGAAAGGGATCGACGGAGGTTATGTTGTTTGGAGTTGTGGCTGTGAGTTCTTCCTATCTACTTGGTGTTTTACTCTTTCAGCGAGTCTGGATTGGAGTGAAGGGAGCGAGCGGATGGTGGGGAGGGCAAAATACGGAAGATAAGAAGAGGGAAGATGTGTGAATTGCGATGCTAATACTTTGATGATATAGTATGGATTGAAAGATGGAAGAAAGGCCGATGTAAGTGTCATGCTTATTTATCTTATAGCTATGAATGATATCGTGTGGACGTATACTCATATATGGAATAGGTTGAATGGGCCGGACGGGCCAAGATGGTTCAGGAGAGCGGAAAGTGGAAATTGGGATTTTACCAAGTTTATTTGGTGAGTACATTTCTAGTTGCCATTGATGCAGGTTGAGGGAGTAAAGAGAAGGGGATCAATGGCTGATGAATTTTTGTTAGGATTCGGCTGCTGTACAGAATGCTAAATAAGGTTGGAAATTCGAAGATGGATGGGAATTTCGGATGAATAGGAGGGTTTGTGTAGATTGACATAAAATTAACTATGATAGACTTCATATCAAACTGTGGTTGGACGAAACCAATATGAACTTCTACAATCTAGATTTTCTTCCGAGCTTCTAGCTTTGCCAAACATATCTTACAAGCATTACCAATTACCAAATCCAAGTGACTATCGTCGTTGTATCTCAATTCGTCAACCATAATATTGTTGGGATATATTCTCTCCATCACTCAATCAACTTAATAGCCTCCTCAAAATTCATAATATCATCCGCACTCTTCGCCACTCCCCCTCCCTTCACAATCCCCTCCTTATCCACAACCCAACTCCCACTCGTCTGCCATCGGTTTCCACTCTCCGTAGGTCTATTCCATATCTTTTCTTCGCGCCCAAGCTTAAAGACGGAAAACATACTCCAGGGATTTAATACGTGCCAGGCGGAACTAGTGCCTAATCCCCATTGCGCGTAGATTTCTCGATCAGAATCAACGATTACTTGGATGGGACCGGCGCCGCCGAGCGAGTCAAGCCAAGTCTCAGTCGAAGATGCTGTGGAATGGGAGATAGCTATTATGTTGATATTTGGGTGGGAGACAGCGAGATTGCGGAGGGTGAGGAAGGTCTTTTCTGCGAACTGGAGAGAGAGGGGGTTAGCTATGTATTGGACTTTGGAAGTGATTTCAGAAGAAGGCAATTGTCTTGAGGTATACATGGAAAGTAAGAAGGAGTGTATATGTGAGAAAGAAAACTAGAAACTCACGGGGCAGCCGCAATGTCTGAGGAATGTGATAATAGTAGGGTTTCCATTAGGATTTGGGAATGGGAGTTTGGATGATGAAGGTGCTCTGGAATTGATTTCTGGAGGTGATTGGACGTCAATTGGAGATGGAGAAACCCATGAATTAAGTTCTTGTTGGAAAGTCATTTTAAAATTAGTATGTATATGTGACTGTTGATGTAGCTGTTGATGTTGATATTCTCGAACAATCGGAGAAAGGGAAGCGACAGGATCATATCGATGATTTCATAGAGGGGAAAAAGCTTCGTGACGTGGGGTAGCTTTCTTATGCATGGCTCGCATGGGTCTGTTATCTTATCGTAACCCCTGACATCCTGCCTTGTAAGGTTAGTAATGTATCAGTATCAAACAATTTGATCTTGGGAAGATTTTCCAAATTCCCCTTCTTTCGAACATCACCAGATACCTAGGTAGATACCTTCATTGTATGTTTATCTGACAGTCCCGAAGTTTGACATTCATATACACTAGGTAAGCTGGTTATGCATTAAACGTTATCTTTCATGCGAGTGCTGAGCGATAATCAAAGCATACCATTTCCATCGCCACAAGAGGCTGTGACAACTTTGACAGCTGTCAATACTCAGAGCACTGGATACCTTTTTGGGGAAACCCCTGGAAGTAGTAGAATATGCATGAAGTCATTACCCTTCAGTTGGGGCAGAAGAGTAATTATCTTGCTACCCATTTCTGGAATACTCAGGTAATACTACATCTTTTTCTAGATTTGTCAACGTATTTTGACTTGTTAATAGGAATCATACTTTACATATTCGGCGGATCAAGAATCTCTTATTGATCACGATGTTCACTTTAGACCTGGGATTGGAGCTGATGGTAGTGAAACCTTCACTCCGAGAACTTTGATTTATGATCTGAAAGGGGGATTTGGTTCTTTGAGAAAGATTAATGCTTTGTATCAAATAGATGAACCGGTTATTACTGATGGATTATGGTAAGAAGTCTAGATGTATCGATAAGAAGTCGAGAATTTTGCTGATTTTAACTTCATTTCAGGAATGGTCCAGCTGTAGTTCAACGGCAAACGGCCATCCAACAGAGTTCATATCAACAAAGTTTGGAAGAAGGCCTCGAACCACCAAAGCTCACCTCAGAATCGGTGCGATATTGGTCAGACTTCAATCGTGTCTATTACCATCCAAGGTCAATAGCTCAACTCAATGAGTATGAATTGAATTCATCTTTGATGCCATTCGAAAATTGGGATGCTGGTGAAGAATTATTCAGTTCCTTAGATAAAGAGCATGATTTGTTGGATCGTGATCTTCGACCTTTTGCCGAGGAAGCTGATCATATGCAAGGCATACAGATAATGGGAGGTATCGACGATGCTTGGGGTGGTTTTGCTGCTCGATATATGGATCGCTTGAGAGATGAATATGGTAAGACCACGATATGGTTTTGGGGTCTGGAGGATAATATCAAGGGAACACCCCGAGTAAGTTGTGGTGAGCTGAGGTGAAGTTCATATCAGTACTGATTTTGACAGGAAAAACGGTTCTTGAAGTTGTCGAACACGGCGAAATCAATATCGGAAATCATTCCACAGACGTCCCTTTTCATTCCAATTACCCTACCATCGACACGTTTGCCAGGCTACGTCAAATTGGACGCGAGTTCTCCATGGGAAGTTTCTGGCTTGTTGTCTTCTGCGATGGAAAGCATGACACTGCCTTCAAGATTAAAGCCTCAAAATGGTACAAGGCAGACTTTAGACCAATTGGCAAGCACATTGAATGTCAATGGCAATCAGAATATTGCGAAATTACGCATGTCTGTGAAACAACAGCCTGAAGCAGGAATTAATGATACCATTCATACAGGAACGAACGGACATTCGCAGGCCACAGATACGAGGATTACTTCAGGAAGATCTTTAAGTCGTGGTGAGGATGTGCCTGCGGAGAATGATACTGCCAATTTTGATATGGACTTCTTTCCTACAGAAACAGGAGAGCAATTTCGCGGTCCTCGGAAGTCCGGCAAGGTTCATGTATTTGGCCAAGTTGAGAATTATAGAGGAAATGAGGAATACGATGAGGAAAACGACAGAAATGATGAGGGTCGTGAACGAGCTCTTAGAATTGCTGCCAGTCTTCCATTGCTTTCAAAGTTAGTAGTCCTCTTGATTATATCTTCATTTTCTTACTGTATTCTTATAGGACATATACACCATTATCTTTTCCACTTCTCGATAGTTTCCCAGGTATCTTCAACCATGAAGATGAGCACGTCAGGAACATCTCAATCAGCACATCTCTCTCGACTGATACGTCTGTGGCCCTGCGAATCAAAAGCCTTCAGCAAATAGTAAATAGAGCTATTGGCATGGATGAACGAGAGGCGCTCAGTAACTCCCTTGGCGAGATCGCGGAATCGTATGAAGAAGGTTGGGATAGTGACACCGACGACGATGATGATTAGTTGAGATGTAAGTAATTACGAATAAGGTAAAGATAGCTTGACTCAATACCACCCTAAGCCACCTAAATTTTACCACACCAGATTACCTGAACTTTGTCCCGACATTCGGTGAGTCTGTACGACTCGGTGATTTCTCATGCGAACTTTGTCAGCTTACATATCGGGAAGAAAATTTCACGACTCAAAGCTGTTGGGTGGCGTGTTCGGTCACGGTATTGAGGCCTATTTACAGCCCAACTTATACCCAGCAACGACTGGGTGAAAGGTCAACAGTGAAGCGAAAGCGACAAATAGTACCGAGAAAAGGCTACCAACGGAAGTCCATCATCGCACAATGTTAGCCTTCCGCCACATCTCTGCTTTCATTGTCTATTTTCCGAGGAATTCTTAATTGGATCATCGATGCATCTCCCTCGCAAAAATTTGTATCTCATTTGAAGCACAGCAATTGATTCATATTCCAACATATCCTGATTTTTTTTTTACCTTGGACCTCACCCCGCCTCTGTTATGCATGACACAGATTTTCAGCCCATTCAAATACAGGATCCTAGTAGACAACCTTCCCCGCATTCGCTAGTAGATCCTGATGCATTTTGAAGTCAAATACGAAGAAGCAAGAAGTCTTTCATATGCATCTCGAGATTTGCTCTAGTAATAAAAAGACATGCTCGGTCGGTACCCTGCGTAGGAAATCATTTAGCCGGAAGACGGAAGTCAGCATACTTCCTATGCAGGGGAAAATCACTCACCAATCTTTAAAGGTACAAAAATCGTTGTGTTACCTGGTTTACCGGTACCAAAGCTAACCAAGAAAATGACACACCACGTTTTTTTTGATATTTCTAGAGGCCTCGAGAACGGACAACAGAGAACAAATTTTGTCACCAGGCCTCGCTTTCCCCCGGAAATGTGATTCATGAGGTGGCACCATGTAAGAATACTGTTTATCATGCAAAAGCTCGTGTTCCTTTCTCCTTCATGCATCATAATATTGCTTCCACAGCATTAAGCGACTAGGAACCCATGTTTATGCCAGCCTTTTCCCCACGACTGCAGCCTCCGAAATGGTTAACAATCAAGTGAATTGACATATGTTTATATACACGAGTTTTTCGTATTACTATACTTAGAGTTCTTATTTCAAAGCTTGGCTCGGAATTGAGGGAACTGTTGTTGGTCAGTACTATACTCGTATCCCAAAACTACGTAGCATACTGGTTGGCCAGTTAGAGGAGACCTTTTTATGTCTTAGTAGACCAGAAAAGATACGGATACTTGCCCAAATTTGCATCGCCAGCATGAAATCATATGCGGCCTTATGAGATGTACTAAGATTGACTAGATATCTTTTCAAGGTAGGATCAAGATTTCTTTGCCATTCCATAGATAATAGTCCCCTTGTTCCCGCATGTGTTTGTGTTTATTTTCATTTTCTGATTGTCCCAACCTTCTACCAAATATTATAATCCTCCAACCTCCTCGCCAGAAAGATTTGCTTTCAGACCTCTCTTTCTCTCAAGTACTTAAGTCGGTCATTATACCCATTCTCTGTGGTGCAAAGTACAGAGTGTGCTATCGTTATACAAGTTTGACGCAGTACAAGTTCAAAACACATTGCTACATATTGCAATCATGAAGGCAGCTTTCGCTTTATTGGCTTTGGCCACTTCGACTCTCGCTCAAGGGATTCAGGAAAGATGGTATTCAAGTCCTCCTGGTTATTCAAGCCCGCCTGGGTATCCCGTCGAGACTGATACTACTACTTGGACTACTTATACTTCAACCACTATCTGTCCTGTAAGTAAGATTCATCTTGTTGACGTGTTGTATCGTTAGGATGGAATGAAGATTGTGGGATGGTCGTAAAGATTCCTATTGTTTGATTTCGTTTAGAACATTGGATGAATTCATCTCTACTTCCTATCTTTCAGATCAACATCACCTTGTCAAAGGGTGAGTGGTGTCAATGTTCAAGAGCTTTCTCACATTTGAGAGGAATTTCGTCTTTTTCATTAGATGAAACCTATCCATTAAGTCCAAGAAAGATTCAAATAGTGATGAAGATCTCATACCATAATGGTCACATGCTGCCACGTTTAAAGGCAAAAGCTTATTCGTTTCTGATAGGTCACTTCAACCACCACCGAAGAAGGAACAACGAAATGGGTTACAAGTATCGCTACATCAACCGTAGTTGTCACTAGTTGCGTTGGAGGCTGCGGTGGAGTTGTCACTGTACCTGGCCCAACTGGATGGGCAACCACTACCACCGATGTAAGAACATTCCATAACGTTTACTTACCATTGGGATTGACTCATTTTTTAGGTTATCGTTACGTATACCACCACCTGCGCGGTAACGGAGACCGTCACTGCTCCCGGAAATACCTACACAAAGACATACACCACCACTTCTATTGTCGAAACTGGTAAGAATTTTCAGGATTCACCCAGATGTTGACGAATCATTGCTGATATCTGAGTCTAGCTGTACCCACCACGATCGTTAACACTGTCACTGCGCCTGACACTACACAGACGTATGGAATTCTTTTTAAATCCCTAAGCTGTTCTTAAACTAATATCTTTTGTAGTGTTGAAACGGGAGTGGTTGTAACTCTTACGAGTCTGTGTCCTATTACCGAGACAACTACGATTTCAGGAAAGGAAGAGACAGTCACTTATACGTCAACATCAATGTATACAACTCACGTTCCTACATATATTGAAGTTACAGCCACTGCTCCTGACAATACAAAGACGTATGGATTCTTCCTAATCTTTACGCCCTATTCTTGAACTAATGGCTTTCGTAGTGTTGAGACTGGGGTGGTCCAAACTCTTACGAGTCTTTGTCCTATTACCGAGACAACTACGATTTCAGGAAAGGAAGAGACGGTTACTTACACATCGACGTCATTGTACACGACGATCCTTCCCACTTATGTCCAAGTTACAGCCACTGCTCCTGATAATACAAAGACGTATGAATCCTTCCCAAATTTCTACGCTTTTATTCCTCGACTAATGTTTTTCACAGGGTCGAGACCGGAGTGGTCCAAACTCTTACGAGTCTTTGTCCTATTACCGAAACTACCACCATTTCAGGAAAGGAAGAGACGGTTACTTACACATCGACGTCATTATACACAACAATCCTTCCCACTTATATCCAAGTTACAGCCACTGCTCCTGATAATACAAAGACGTATAAATCCTTCCCAAATTTCTACGCTTTTATTCCTCGACTAATGTTTTTCACAGGGTCGAGACCGGAGTGGTCCAAACTCTCACAAGCCTATGCCCTATCACTGAAACTACCACTATTTCAGGAAAAGAGAAGACCATAACTTACACATCTACATCGTTGTACACAACGATCCTTCCTACCTATGTTGAAGTTACAGCCACTGCTCCCGACAAGACGGAAACGTAAGCAAGCCCGTTTCACTCTCTTCTCTTTGGAAGCTAACTTCTTCCTAGCGCTGTCACTGGAGTTATTTCTACAATAACTTCTCTCTGCCCAGTCACAGAGACAAAGACAGTCTCGGGAAGCCTGGTAACTGTCATCTACACAACTACTTCATTCATTGTCACAAATGTCGGAACCACCGTCGAAGTAGCAACTACTCTACCTGCGAAAACCACCACGTGAGCATTCCTTCTTATATGCGAGGGCAACAAACTAATAAGCAAAATAGTATTGCAACTGGAGTACTTCAAACTATCACTAGTCTTTGCCCTGTTACTGAAGTCGAAACCGTTTCTGGAATCGAATATACTGTTACAAAGACGTCAACTAGCCTTATAGTTACTGATGTATATACCACGGACTACTCAAAAACTACTTTACCGGGAGGAACTAAGACGTAAGTTTTTGGGCTCTTGCTCTCCATTTGATATTTTGGCTAATTAAGTGTAAAGAATCGAAACTTACGTCTATCAGACGTCTACTAGCTTATGCCCAGTCACTGAAATCCAAACAATCTGTATGAATCCCATTCCCAAGTTTCACATGTATTCAATGTTTCAAATGACTTGAATGTTCGAAGAAATAAATACTGATAGTCACCTTCTAGCTGGTGTTCCGATCACAAAAGTATATACCAGTACAATCGTCACTGAAGTCCAGGTTCCTACTACTATTGTTCAATAGTGAGTCAATCCTCCATCGAAAGTCAAAACATTGAGCCCAGACTAACAAGCTTCAGCACTACAACTCAAGCTACTGAATATAAGACTACTGATGTATACGAGACGACTACATGCATCGAAAGCGTATACACAACCATCAGTGCTGGATCAACGTAAGCCCAAAAATTTCTCTTCCTACCCGAGAAGCATTATAGTCTGACATCTTCATAGCATCGTTTTGACCGCCACCCAAACAAACACCATCCAAGTGACCGCAGTTCACATCTTGACATCTACCCTCCCTGCCGCAACTGGCGAAACCACCGTTTATGCAAGTATTCCATTCTCTTATCTCTTTCCACTTTCTCCCCACACCCTTCTCAACACACTCTAACCTCATTCCCAGATTCCAACCACAATCGGCCACACCATCGAAACCATTGCCATCGTCACCGTTCCCTCCATCGTCCGCACCATCATCCTCGGAACAACCTACTACGCAAACACAACCCACGTACAAACATCAACTTACATCCAACCCAGCACTTTGACCGTTGGGGGCCAGACAACGAGCTATTTCGTTCAGCCTAGCGTTAGCGTAAGTAGTATTGCGGCGACCAGCGTAGCTACGATTGCGCCTAGTGCGCCGGTGGAGGCGAACAATGCGGGGATGAATGCACCGGGGTTGGTGATGGGGTTTGTGATGGGGGTTTTGGCGCTTTTGTAGATGGATGAGTGGGTGATGGGGTGGCATTTTTCTTCTCTCTCTTTTTTTTTTTAAGAAGAGAAGATGCTTCGATGCTTGGTTTCTTTTCTTCTCTTCTCTTCTCTTCTCTTCACTGGACTGGGTGGATGCATATACACACAATGATATGAAGAAAAGAATGGGGAGCATTATGGATATGGATTCGGATATGGATAATATTGAATGGCATGAGAGAAGGAAGAAGATAACGATACGAAACGATACAATGGATGTGTTAAGGATTGGATATTGGATATTTGAGGGGATACTTTCTTTGATGAATTTTATTTGGAAAGCGGATGGGAAATGAATGGATGAGAGGGATGAGTGAGAGGGGTTTTAGGGGGTAATTCTTAATTTATTTGTAGATATTATAATTCTATTCTATTCGATTCGATTTTGTCCTGTTCTATCTTGTGTTGTTCTATCTTGGGTTATTTCTTCAAAAATGGATTTATAATTATATATCTAATCCGTGGATTCTCCAAACCGCAGTCTAGCAATTAAAATTATAAGAATTTTTATTTACTTTTTGAAAGTAAGTTTGTAGGTAGATAGATAGGGAGGTTGGAGAGAATGGAGGTTGGAGAGAATGGAGGTAAGAGGGAGGTACCTATACATATCCATCAAATTCCACATCTCAAACTATCTATTTACCTAGATAGTAAGTATCTTACTCATCTTACTCATCTAAATTGATTAATATGAACAGAACTAGGTATCTAAACTAACATGACTTAAAATCCTATATTATCCTATGAATATTTTCTCATTCTTATTTACCTAGGTATTTAGGGATATTAAGAAAAAAGATTTCTGAGATGTTCGCTGGCTTGATTGGTTCTCTTGATTTTTGATAACTCTCCTCTCCTCGCCTCGCCTCCTTTACTCCTCATCTCATCTCCATTTCTAAAGTTTTTATTTTCATCATGCCCAGATATTCTAATTCTGACTCTTAACTCTTAAATCTCGACGTATTCTTTAATTTTTCTTCTCTTCACTAGCTTCTTTCTTATAATTAGATATATAGATAGGTAGATAGACAAATTCCTAGATAGATAGATATTCAAAAATTCTCTATATAGTTCCTCAATATTCGCTGATTTCTTGGATGATGTAGGATAGATAGATAGTTGATATCTTTAATACCTAGGCATGTAATTCTGGAAAATAGAGTTATTATGGTAATGTATCTACATCTATATCTATATCTACATCTACATATCTGGATCGAATCTCGCAAGAATTCTAATCACTAGGTAAGTAATTCAATATTCCAAACCAATCCGTCATCTCGAGCCCTTATATATCAGCTTACTACCTCATACCTACCATAGCATTTGAATACTCCAAGCTTTGATTATTAAACTATAGTTTGTATTATTAGATACTCTGGGTTCTTTTTGTGAAGGTATTCATTCTATATGAAGTGATTGTTGAAAAGTATTGAGCTGGTGGATATGAGATGCTACGGTTAGGTTATATATATATATGCTAGGGAGTATTAGTGAATTGGTATGGATCTTGTGGTACCGGTGTAGTGATGATATTGTTTTGTTTTTCGAGGGGGATGGTGGGTATTTGATGTGTGTGGTGTGGTGTGGTGTTTTGAGATGGGATGGGTGGGATGGTTATGGGTGGTATAGTGATTGGTATAATCTAATCCAAGGTGGATGGTGAGGAAGAGGATTGTAGTTGTTTTGTAGTTGATAGGTTTGTATAGAATGATGAGATGAGATGGGTGGGATGGGTGAATAGAGAAGTTATTGATCTGTCGGTATGGTGTGATGGAATTCGAATAGAAAAGTCTGCTACTTTGCAAGATAGTGTAAGTAAATAGAATAAATAAGCATTCTCAAGATACAATAATATAAAATCAATCCACAATGATAATTAATAGATATAACCATATCATTCAATATACATCAACAGGTATATATATCCAACATAATAGATGTATATATAATTGAGGCTCAAAAGGGTAAATCAAAATCGGATCCAAGAATTGTGCGGGGTTGAATGAGATTTCTTGCTAATGGTGGCACGTGTGGATCATTGGGTCTTGGGTCTAGAACTTGTGGGATTGGAGTCGATCGATGATGTATTAAGTAAGGTGATTAGGTAGGTGTTGGTTACTAGTATTGGATCTAGTAGTTTATAAGTATGCGTGTGGTGCATTTGTAGGTATGTATCAGATCTAAGATAAGATAGATACTAGGTAGATAGATAGATGGAGATCTGATAGTCTTTTATCGAGGTTTGAGAATGAATTTTATATTTATGTTTAGTTAACTTACCTAACTAGTTTAGCCAAGAGCGAGAGAGAGAAGAAATTATAGTTAGTCAAGAAATATCGAGTCTCGGAGTAGTTGTAATAGGAAGATTCAAATATGACAATCTAATAGATAATCATATATGTGAAAATTGATCCAAGTAAAAGAGATTTCATATATTCGCTGGTTGGAGATCGATCGACCGAAGAATGTCGAGGGAATAAAGTTGGAGGGTACGTTCTTATGCAGAAAAGTGGAGATGATATAGGGCAAGCACGAACGTAACGCGTAAATAGAAAGCACAGATGGTAAGTGAGAGTGTGAGTGAGAGTGAGAGAGAGAGTGAGTAGTAGGTATGAGAGTGAATTAACTTTGGATAGGATTCTTGATGAGGATGGAAGGATCTAAGTGGATGTGATGGGTGAGATGGATGTGATGAATGGATCGAGGAATGGATGCATAGCTAATAAGTATTGCGTAGTACAAGTAATAAATAAAACAAGTCGGCGTTTAAGTGGTTCGTACTAGTTGTAGATGACACAGGAGTAGAAATGCTTAACGGTAACTACCTAGGTAGAGATGATACTCGACTGGTCTCTTACATAATCACTCGAGTATTCGTAGTGTACCAAAGAGTCATATCAATGTCTTCTTTTGATATCAATCAGTTAAGAGAGTACTATGTAGCCTATTGTAGTATCAAAGTATAAAGTATACAGTACCAAAGTATCAAAGTATCAAGATCCCACCGTCTCAAGATCTCAGTATCAGAATATCCAACCATCCAACCATCAAACCATCAAAGTCTTGGTGTCAATGCCGAGGTGGACCGTTCTTGGGAGGTATGCGTAAATAACCATTTAGTACGCGTTCATCAATATTGTCACTGTCATTGTACTTCATATGATCATTCTGAGATTGTTTAATTTTTAAAAAAAAAGCTCAATGAAGTCATCATCATCACTTGGACAGATAGCAAGTACAGAAAACTTACTCTAGTCAATAACTAGCACGCCTGGACACTTTCTTCCATTATCGATAGTCAATTTTATGGAGAAGAGGAGAAGGACGGACTCATGAAAAAGTGCGCCGATTGTTTTCCAACTCATTTTCAACCAATCATATAATGACTGGACACTTTCCAAAAATGTAAAAAAGGTGAACAATTAAAAGGCTACCAAATTTCGCGACCAAAGAGAAATTCTCCTCCAAACTTCTTTCAACAATCAAATCCAACAACTTTATTTAAATACTCATTCCTCTGACTTATTTATACACATACACACACACACACATATATTCACACACACACACATATATTCACACACACACACACACAATACCACACAATAAAACCTCAACTCTCGATTCAAAAATAAATTCAAACATAGAATTGTTTCCTATATCTTGATCGTCACAAATTCACAAAATTATAACCAATTATATCTCCCAATTTCCCCCTTCAGATCCAAATCTCCCAAGAAATACAAAGGGCAAGGCAAGGAAGACAAGGCACGCTCGTAAGTAAGCAAGCAAGTACCTTAAACAAGGACGCGACTTCCGCGTGACGGGTCCACACGATAGGGAGAGAGGCGATTGATCGTATTGCATTGCATTACATACGTGATTATTGAAGGAAGGAGAACCGCAAAGAAAAAAAAATTGTTTCTTTTTAAACAAATACAATTCAATACAATACCATTCAATCCAATAATCTCATCACGACATCTCAATTAGCTTAACAATTTGCTGCTTGCTAATTGCTGAGATTGCTGTTAAATCAATCCATCAATCATTCCGTGGCCCTTTTTGCCCGTGGTAAGTGATTTCATTATATCATCCGTCGCATCGTTACAACCTTCCCCTCCCCTCATTATAGGTTCCAACTCTTTGACACTTTATTCGCAAGGGGTACTGCACCTCTCCCCCTCCCCCTCCATCTCCCGTTCCTCGACGACACAATACTCATTGTTCTCTCTAGTTGTCAACAACTATCCCCAGCCGTACCCATTCACACGACAGACAACTTATGCGCAATAATCACCGGGTCAACGCTGTCGCAAAAAATTATGCATACAAAAATGCCAGCCTCCGCTAAACGACCTTATCGTCGGGATTCGATGAGGGAAGAGATTGATATTCCTGACTCCTCGCCTTCTCGCCCTCCGAAGAGAAGAAAGAGGGTAAGTGCACTTCATCGTGGCGCATATGCCATTCCCACTAACAGGAGATGTAGGCTTCAGAACCCAAACCTAAATCCAATCATTCAACCTCCAACCAACAACCCGTACCCGAGATGGAAAACCAGGAAGAGATTATCTTTAAGCTTAAGAAACACTTGGGATTATTTAGTGTTGTACAAGTTCTCGAGGACCATGCGGACGATAAATATGAACAAGAGTACGGAGGAGGAGTTCAAGCTTTCGCAAAGTTGGCTGGAAATGGTTGGACTTATTACGTCAAGGATCAGGAGGTCCAGATTGGGCGCAACCCGGCCGAGGGTCAAGAAGAAGTTCCAGGAGCTGTTGCGGAGGTCGATATTGATCTGGGCCCAAGTAAAATGATTTCGCGACAACATGCCAGAATATTCTTCGACGATGGCTGGCGAATTCAAGTCAATAGTCGCAACGGAGCCAAAGTCAACGGTACGATGTTTGTCCGCAATCACGAGCCAAAAGAGTTGCATAGTGGAGATGTAATCAATGTCTCGGGTATTGAGATGATATTCGTTTTACCCGGAGGTCCTTTCAAAATTCATCCGGAATACCTGCGAAAAATTGAGAGTACCGTGGACGATGGAGAGGAAGCCGATGAAGTAGAGGAGGACGCAGAGGATGTAGAGGATGCTCAGAGAGATAGCGAGGAACCTTCGGATGTTCCTTTGCCCCCTTCAACTAATGGAGCCCGCGCTCAGAATGGAGTTCCGCAAGCGATTGCTCCAGCGCCAGCTAATTGGCAACGTGCTGCTACTCCTCGCGCTTCTCTCAAAGTCCCAAGTTCTGCAAAGAGACCCCCTACTGGCTATTCGGCTGGCGGTACGATGATCATGAATGATTCTGAAAATGTCGACCTCAGTCTTGATTCCAATCATCATATCAAGCCTGGTTACAGCTATGCGCAAATGATCGCGCAGGTAATTTTTGAAGCTCCAAATCAAATGTTGTTACTGAATGGCATTTACCAAGCCATTATGGCCAAATACGCTTATTACAGATTTCAAGCACCCGGCGGCTGGCAAGTAAGTTACCTAGTATCTGTTTCATCCTTTGATTGACTCCAAACTAACGAGGTAAAAAGAATTCTATCCGCCACAACTTGTCGCTTAACCAAAATTACGACAAGATACCACGTGGAAAGGATGAGCCTGGCAAAGGTAAAAAGTGGTTTATCAAGCCATCGTGCTATGATACAATCGCAGCACTCGCACAATCAGCTCCTGGCAGAGGTGGTGGCCACCGAGGATCTTCACAGCCAGTATCACCAGCCGCCGCTGCCGATCGAGGGTTTGATGATGAATCCAGTCCGGATTCCGTCGCTAGAAAAAGGAAATCTTCAGCTTCACGCTCACCACGTATGAGACCACACCAAACTAACAGACCGCAATTTACTCCCGAACGGGCCCCCCGGATTCAAAACTTACAGCATGATTTCCCCGGCGATGGAAGTCCACTACCTAGACATTATCGACGAGTTCAGAAGAACGCCCCTGGCTTTTCTGATAATTTGCCCAATTCTCCACCCACCCTCTCATCTTCTTATCAACAGGATGATGGTAACACGTTTGTCACGCCAGCTCCCCACCGTGTTTATCCTCATTTAGCACCGCCAAGTACTGCGCAGCGACCAAGTCAACATATGCCAACTAGCTCGCCTGCTCCATTTTGGACATTCGCTGACGGTACTCCTAATCATGGATTTCGTGGTTATGATAATAGCCCTATCAAAAGGTTTCAACCCAGCGTTATTCCCGATAGTAGTCCACCTCCAATGCGACGGACTCCAGCTCCGAGTCCTACCAAAAGTGCAGTTTTGGGAAAACTTCAGATGCCAGATGTTGATGAGGTTGAAGAAGAAGAAGAAAAAGGGTTTGATCTTACAAAGTAGGTTTCTCTCCATTTTCCTATTGCAAAACATCTATTGACAATTTTATCAGGGGATTCCAAAGTATTTCTCAATTCCACCTCGAGAGTGTTGCAAAACTTACTGCGACACCTGTATCGGGCTCCCTTGCGGCTCGTATTTGAGTTACCTCGCCGATACAAATGGTCTTTGTAACTGTTGAATTTGTTTTCTTTTTACCTCTGCACAGTGTGAGGGTCCACCTTACCTACTAGCTTTATTTGCAAGCAAATTACTACTATATCGACGATTATACCTCCTGGACACTCCACCAACTCACCTTCACCTACTCATTTATATTTACATCGATTCATGATGTGGCGTTCTGCAAAGCAGATTATCGGATTGGAAGGTTATTTGATTATGTTAAATTTTCCCCACGAGTCTTATATGTTAAGGTTGGGAGTATGGGTTATGCGTTTTTGTTATGTACATTTATGGGTGGGATTGGGATCGGTGTTTATTTAAAATGGGAAAGAAAGGAAGGGAAAGAGAATGGGGAATGGGGAATAGGGGGACTTGCATTTGATATTTGGTTTTTATGATGGATGGATGGACGGATGGGTGGGTGGTATACTTTAGACATGGACGGTTATGATTCAATGGTTATGATGAGTGGGTAGGAGCTCATGGGGAGGAGGACAATGGATTACTGGTGCCGCTAGCCTGGCTTTGTTTGCTTTTTGGGAATGTATGTATATAGGAAGGTGTATAGGATTGAGGCTATTTATTAGTTAGGCTTTGATATCAAATTTGCTTGGAACCTTTGTAAGAAAGAACGTTGAGGAGAGAATCAAGGGTTTGTGAGTTTGTGAGATGGATGAGTTGGGATTGATGGAGCTGTGGGTAGGTACCTAGTAGGTATTTAATGAATCTTGGAATGGGAGGAAATCTGCTATGTATAATATAGGTATGCTACCGAAGAATGATGTATTGAAAGACTTTATCTACAATCATATGTATGCCTCGCTCTCCCCCCCCACTCATTTCGATACTAGACTTTATGGGAAGGGAAATTTTGAATCTTGGCTTCTTTGCAATTCTCGTGTTGCGAAATTCTCCTAAGTTAGGCTAATATAATTATTGTGATACCAAAACGCCCTTTTTACAAATCCATAAACTCCATCCTTCCTAACAAAAGATTGACTTTTCTTGACGTGCTTTTTGGTAAGTCCTTGTAACATTGCTGATCCAGGTATTGGCGATTCGAAGGAGGTCAGATGGAATAATCTCGTTGTTTCCAAACCAGCTTCTGGTGGCCAGCCGCAAGCCATATGTGACATCAATCTCGAAATCGGGTGCTTTCACAATTCCCTCAATCATCCATCTCCATATCATCAGCCTCCTCCACACCACCATCAACCAACTCCTTGAGCCTGATCTTCTGCTTTCCAAACACACTTCTTTGCTCTCTCTCCAAATCCAACTCGTTGACCTCTTCTCCCAATTCCTCGAGTCTCTTCTTCTCGCTGCCGCGCATCTTGGGGAGCAAGTGCTCGTTCTCTGCAACCAATTTTCGGTTGGCTTCTCTTTGTCTGGCCACATTGCCTTCCATACGCTTCTTGTAGAAGACACGTTCGCGACGGGCCCGGATTTCGGATACACGTTGCATGGCTTTGAGGGTAGTGGCGATGTGTTCACGGTTGTAACGGACGGGAACGTTGCGGCGAGCGGAGAAGTTGAGGGTGCTGTCGACGACCATTTCTTTGCCCGCGGCTTTGCGGAATGCTTTGGTCCATTTGAGTTTACGGGGGTTACGCTTCATTTTGAACTAGAAGAGGGAGAATGTTAGTCAGAGCTTGGAGATTGAGCATCGGAGAGAAAGGTGCAATGGTGAGATGGGGGGTCTGTGGCGTTCTGGAGTGGAGGGAGATGGATGTGGTTTAGACGTACGTTCTTGTGGCATTTACTGCGGCAGAATCTAAAGGTTCGCGCATCGTTACGAACGAAGGTTATGCCCTTGCTTGGGTAGCAGGGCTGCGAGCAAAAATAACAGGTTTCAATTCTATTGATGAATTAGCAAAGGTAAAGATTGCGATAGATGTTTTTATCGTCAAGAAGATTGCAAAAGCCATTGAGATCTCGAAAGTCCATGAATTGCGGAAAGAGACTTGATGTTGTAGATGGGCGGGAAAGTTTCTTACCTCATGTTGGCGGTATTTCTTTCTAAACCAGCTTGTCGTTGTGCTGGATTGTCGATGGATAAGTATGGACTTCAGAAATTTTGGAGGAATGTCCGACTTTTTTCACTAGCGCCATCCGATAAGATAGCGATGGCACGTGCTTACCATTTGAGATTCTCTCAAAACAAATATCCCCTGTTTGTCTCTGTTGATTTTATTATTTTTTCATATCGAAGAAGTTTCTCAAACCCTTCTTCTACTGTGATTATATAGTCGACTTCATCAATGATTTCGATCTTTTGTTGATGTGATAATCTCTTACATTCATCAAGTACCTCTTGTGACCAATTACAGTAGCGAGAAATTTGTATTTTGATATTTTCCTTCAAGAATCTTTAAGCTCGACACCTCAACATTTACAGATACAATGTCGCTCTATTATGAGGCAGCTGAAGTTCTAGCTGCTCCTACTAATCAGGGTGGTAGTTTGAGATCAAGAATTTTCAGCAAGAAAGACTTGAAATCGCAACCAGCTCAAATCTATGCTCTGGCGATAGAGACGTGTAAATGGAGTCCAGTTTTGAAGGATGTGATCGAAAATGCGGATTTGTTGCGTTTAGAGCGAAAGGTTAGTATTGCGATAGATTGAAACTTTGAAATAGTAGCTGATGTTGTTTATAGCTAACTCCAACTTTGTCTCTTCTTCTCGTCCATGACTTACTCTTGGCAAAGAGAGGAATTGCTCTCCCAGCTACTCATGGTTTACGAGCCTCAATTGAGCGGCATAAGGGGAGGTTGCAAGCCGAGTTGACCAAGGCAAGACTTCGGAGAAAAATGAGCACCATGGAAGCTTTAAAAGCTTATGTCGAGACAGGTCAGGAGAATGCAACTGATACATCCGAAGCACCTTACCCTCGTTGGATACGTATCAACACTTTAAAGACTACTCTTGAAGATCAACTCGAATCTACTTTTACTGGATTTGAACGTGCAGCGACGATCGATGCTGTTAGACACCGGGGGTCTAAACGCTTATATATCGATGTTCACATTCCAAATCTCATTGCTATATCTCCAAATATTGATCTCTCAAAGAGTGTAGCATACAAGTCTGGAGAAATCATCTTCCAGGATAAAGCGTCATGTTTTCCAGCATATCTCCTTGATCCTCTTGCTGAAGACGGTGATATTATCGACTCTTGCTCAGCACCTGGTAACAAGACCACTCATATTGCGGCTATTTTAGTTGATCGACTTCCTGAACCAGATGAATCTACTCAAGTTATTCACGCATTTGAGAAGAACAAAGGGAGGGCTGAAACTCTAGAAAAGATGGTCAACTTGGCAGGGTCGAATACGTTTACTACACTTCATGCTGGATACGACTTTTTGAAGACTGACCCGAATTCTGGTACATACAAGAATGTTGGTGCTTTATTACTGGATCCCAGTTGCTCGGGAAGTGGAATTGTTGGTCGGGATGATATGCCCGAATTACATCTACCAGGTATTAAAGAAATCGTTGCCAAGCCTTCTAGAAACAAAAAGAAGCCGAAGAAGGCACCGGAGCCAGTGGAGACAAGTAAGAAGGAGACAAACAAGAAACGGAAGCGCGAGGAGGATGGTGATGCTTTGGAAGTAATGGTTGATGACGATGGAGTGGTTACTGCTGTCGATAGCGATGCCGAACTAAAAGCTAGATTAACAGCTCTTGCAGAGTTTCAGTTGGAACTACTTCTTCATGCATTCAAGTATCCTGCTGCTCGAAAGATCACCTACTCCACTTGTTCAATCCATGCCGAAGAAAACGAATCTGTTGTTCAGAAGGCTTTAGCCTCTGATATTGCAAAAGAAAGGGGTTGGAAAATTCTTCGTCGTGACAATCAAATCCGGGGTATGAGGGAATGGCCTGTTCGAGGCTTTATAGAAGCATGCGATGGTGATGAAGTGGTTGCAGAAGGATGTATTCGAGCTAACAAAGGAGATGGGCATGCTACTATGGGATTCTTCTTGGCGGGGTTTGTGAGAGATCAAACATCAACTGTTGATCCTGAAGCCGGACTCCTGAGAGATGAACGCGGGCATCTCGTACGCGATTTAATGGGGTTACCAGTCAGAAAAGATCAGGGAGATGCAGAGGAATTTAACGTCGATGCCCAAATGGCACCTGTGGAAGCTCAAGATTTCTCACCGGAAGACGATGATGAATGGGGTGGCTTTGAGGAAGAGGTTGCACCGATAGTCGAAGAGAAAAAGGAGGTGCATGCAGTTATGGAGAAGAAGAAGGAAAAGGCCAAGGTCAACAAACATGCCCATGATGCGATCAAGAAACGTGTCAATATGAGTGTAAAAGACAAGAAACGGCAGAAAACAAAACGATAATGTAAAACCTATTAGCCGAGGTGTTGTATATTGAAATAGAATGATGTTGTGGAATACCCATCGTCACCAATACCTATTAATCGGATAATATGAACGAAGATGGGGTTTTGCCTTTTCATATTGGGTTCATTCGCATGACAAGCGCTCGGGATTCAATCTTGAATATCAACTATTCCTCCGGCACCGACACGGAATAGGAGCCAAAACCCCGGTTTCTTCAAGATGTTTGTCACATTCTAGACATAAGCATGGAGATAATTATTACATCCGCTATTGCCAAGATTTCGCTCGGCTATGTCGGCACCCGTTAGACTAGAATCTACAATGATACACCGCAAGATGTATACCCCATTTGGAGATTTCGATCCATGGATCCCTATCACTAAATTGAACTTTATTTTTTCCCATTTGCATAACCGCAACTTAGGCTTTTCTTGATCCACTAAAGGGTGCGTCCTTAATCAGACTTCATGACATACCGGGAAGAATTTCCCCCGGATGTGTATATTTTCAATAGATGCATTGCATAATGTAAATTTATCAGCATAACTCGTAAATGCTTACTCCGTAGGTATCTACTCGTCGGATGTTCCATCAGCGGTCAACGGAAAGGTGCTATTCAAAGTGGATTTCAAATGATGTTATATTGCAGATAATATATAATGTATGTTGTGCGCCGCAAAACGTTTTGAGTATTTTTCATATTCAATCTCGCATTTCCGTGGCCGAATAATTTGGCAGGGTTGCATTTAACCAACCATACCCCAAACTCGAATAAATCCGTAACAACATCATGGTTCGAACTTCAGATTCTAGTTCTTCAACTGCAATGAATATGGATAGAGATTTGGAAGAACAGAAAAATGTCCAAAAAAAGGCTAGACATTGGGAGTTGGTTTTCGATCAGATACATGTCACGCCCGAAGTACTCAATTACCCTTATAGAGGATCTGGGACAGAACAGGATCCTTATGTGGTGGAATTCATTCCAGGCGATCGCAGAAATCCATTGAATTTTACCATGTTGAAGAAATGGACTATCACTTTACTTCTTGCCTTTGTAAGCTCTCCCCCTTTTTGTATCGAGGTCTCGGTTATTATTCTCCGAAGTTTGAGCTGTGTGACGGATGGGGTTGAGACATACATACTTCTCTTACACACATACTAACTGTTGTTGAAGGCAACCTTGGCAGTTTCTTTTGTGTCCTCGGCATATACAGGCGGGGTTAAACAGATCATTGAGGATTTTAATGTCAGTACGGAAGTTATCACTTTAGGAGTCTCGCTTTTCGTCTTGGGTTTTGCGATCGGGCCGCTTATGTGGGCTCCCTTGTCAGAATTATATGGTCGACAGGTTCTCTTCTTTGGCACTTATGCTATGCTTACTGTTTTCAATGCTGGGGCTGCTGGAGCACAAAATATACAAACACTCTTGATCATGCGATTCCTCGCAGGCGCTTTTGGTAGTTCTCCTCTTACCAATGCCGGTGGAGTTATTGCCGACATGTTCTCTGCTTCTCATCGAGGAATTGCTATGAGTATCTTTGCTGCAGCACCATTCCTAGGCCCTGTTATTGGACCAATTGTAGGCGGCTTCTTAGGAGAAACAGAAGGTTGGAGATGGGTCGAGTAAGTTGGATTGCTTAATCACTGTTTATACTATGGCTCTAACACTATCGATAGAGGACTCATGGCCATCTTCACCGGAGCACTTTGGATTATTGGCACACTCACCATCCCCGAAACTTATTCCCCAGTCATCCTTCGTCGCCGAGCAAACAAGATGTCCTCCATGACCGGAAAAGTTTACAAATCCAGGATAGAAGTTGACAACGGCTCTAAATCTTTATCAGCAGAATTCAAAACGGCACTCTCAAGACCTTGGATTTTGTTGTTTACAGAACCTATCGTGTTCTTGTTAAGTTTGTACATGGCAATCATATACGGAACTTTATACATGATGTTCGGAGCATTCCCAATTGTGTACCAAACTGGACGCGGATGGAGTGCTGGTATTGGTGGATTGGCTTTCTGTGGTGTTGCAGTCGGGATGATGATTGCAGTTCTTTACTCATTGTGGGACAATAAACGATATAACGCTACAGCTGCCAAGCATAACAATGCTGCTCCACCTGAAGCTCGACTTCCACCTGCCCTCATTGGAAGTATCTGCTTGCCTATTGGTCTCTTTTGGTTCGCATGGACAAATTCTCCAAGTGTACATTGGATTGTCAGTATCATAGGCACTGCTCCCTTTGGATGTGGGATGGTATTGGTGTTCTTGAGTGTCATGAATTATTTGATTGATGCGTATGTTCTTTACGCCGCTTCCGTTTTGGCGGCCAGCAGTGTTCTTCGTTCCTTGTTTGGTACGGCGTTTCCACTCTTCACTTCTTGTAAGTATTATCCAAATTCTCCATGGCTGTGTGTCAAACAGATAACTAACTGTATGATTAGATATGTACCAAAATCTCGGCATTCATTGGGCAAGTTCAATTCCAGCTTTCCTCGCATTAGCCTGCGTGCCATTTCCATTCCTCTTTTACAAGTATGGAGCATCTATTCGAATGAAATGCAAGTTCGCGGCGGAAGCGGCACGTGTATTGGCGGAGATAAGGGGAGCTTCTTCAAATGAAGATGAGGCGGAGCAGACAATAGAGGATATGGAGGAACGGGAGGCGAGAAGGTTAAATGCCCATGAGGAGAGTGAGAAGAATGAAGCTGTTTAGGATGGAGAGAAACGCGAAAAGAAAATTAATGAATGAATGAGAAGGGAGTGCGATTAGATTCCTTTAGTTTAGCGGCATAGCGATCGAGGAGTTTTGATGTGTTTACGTTTACGATCATAATAGAAGTTAGCATTTTGAAGGTGTTGGGAAGAGGGAAATACACGGTAATGTAGGATTTGACTTGTTGTTTCTTACATTAGATATCTCATGAAGCATATGATAGATACTCGGCTCAAAAGTAAAACTATATTTTTAAAAACACAATGGTCCAGAATGATGGTGTAGGAAGTATGAGTACCTAAGTAGTGATTTCATTAAGGTGATGCGGCTTTGAATTCCTCCATAAGCCACATCCGTGCACGAGTCCCCCCATGTTGCATCCCATCCTTTTCCAACCTTCAAAACCCATTCATCACAGCTTCCTACGGAGATTTACACCATACTCATCAAGTTTTGATACAACATAAAATTGTAAATATGCACGGCGCATTACGAAACGTTCCTGCAAGCATTGGAAATGTGGATGGGTGGCACCGAATGGCCAAGTCAGAACCCTTTTGAATACTGAGCTGTTGGATTGATATTTGCTGAAGACCTCAAAGTTGCCTAAGCTGGTGAATTCAATACTGAATGCAATTTCGATTGTATATGTTCTGATACAAGTCTCGATTTCTGTCAATAATGTTGCAAGGCACATTTTTTGCTGTAAATTGTCGGCAGGATCAGCCCGTCCATACAATGCATAGTTAATTTGGTTATTGTGTACCTGCATCTATGACCAACTTTTGGTCACTCATCAGCACATCCATATCTGGACAACTCCCATCGAATTGCCATCGATCGTGTCTAAATTGCAGGTGGCGTGTCCTCCATATGGTTTGGTTGGGGAGAGGGAATCTTGATATCCCGTTCCGCTGGAACATCACGCCGCGAAGCCGCATTATTGATTTGATATCACACTCCTTATCTTGATTCATCCGAGATTATGGGGAATCACCCCCAGATCCTCCGTACCATTCTACATGATATTTCATCTTAGTTGTTCGAAGTGCCGTGGTTTGTAATATTCACTTGATTCCTTAGAGTAAAAAGTATCCTATAATCTTATTTACATCATGTAGGCCCTTTTCAATTTCGTATTCTATACCTCCGTCGTTACACTCTTGGAAATTTATCCAACAGTCATTCTTAATCATGGTTTCAATCCTCCCAGATGGAATGTCCAACATGGAGGCAACTGTTTCGTTTTTTATCATAGACATAATAGCCCTCATTTTACGCGTCATTTCCAGGATACAAACAAAGGGTACGACGACAACCGGGCGATTCATCCGCTATGATGACTGGTGGATTCTCGCAGCCTATCTGATGTTTGCTTCGCATTGTATTGTGATCATTTGCGGCGAGTACATACAATCACCAGAGCTGATAGTTCGTACTAACTGCATCGAATAGACATCACAAAGATATCAGGCACCCTCGAGCCATATCTAGTCATGGATCCAGGTCATCGATTGAAAATGCTCGAGGTAGAGTCTCACATACAATCTTGCTTCTTTGTTAGTCCTGAGTTGACACTCATGCAGTTGTTATGGATTGGCAGCATCCACTTTCCCTTCATCATCACGGCCGTTAAAATCTCAATATTATGCATGTACCGCTCTCTATTCAAAACGACCCCAAACCTCATTCGATGCGTGGATATAACAATGGGTTTATGCACAATATGGTTCATAATCACTGTATGCTTGACGGTGTTCGGGTGCACACCTATCAAAGCAGCATATAATCTAGCCCTTAGACTTGAACCCACCACACATTGCATTCCATACGGAGAGATAGTTCTTGGCTTTGAGCTACCCAATGCAATCTTGGATGTGATTATTCTAGCCTTGCCTTTTTTCGTCATCAGAGACCTACATGTCCCTATACGGAAGAAGGTGCTCTTGTTCTTGGTTTTTTTGGTTCGGTGGGTTGTAAGTAATTTCGTCCTTTCAACGATGTGAGTGACCTGATATTAACTAGCTTGTAGCGTTATTGTGACATGCATACTACGCATAGCATACTCATATCAGCCTCATGATCCAGAGCATTGTAGGAAACGTGAGATCATTTCGTTCTGAAAGTCACTAAAGTCTATATAGTTTCTGGATTCTCGACTGCGAACGAGTGGTTGATGATTGAGGAAGGTAGCGCTATTTTAGGAGCCTGCGTTCCGACATGTATGTTTGCACGAAATCCATTCTTCGATTCAAACTTCCTTCTGTCATCTTGTACTTCTTTTCATCTCCTACAGCTACTTCAACCCTACCGATTTCCTTACTGCTCCCAACTCTTTCTCTCATGGGCAATTACTGATTTCTCTTTTTTGCAGTTCGACCCATACTCAAAACTTATTTTAAACTTCCAAAATCTGTTAGCGACTGGTTCTCTTCGACGCTGGGTGCCTCAACATTAGCGAGCAAATTCTCCAAAAATCATTCGCGAATCAAAACTCAACCAAGTCAATTGAACGATCGATCTGGACCCTCATATCAGTTGGAAAAGCTATCAACAGCCCATCTTCAGCGTGGAAGAGAATGGCAGAACCAAGACCTCGACACAGATTCGGATGAAAGCCCACTGGTTGACAATAGGATTTGGGTCACAAGGCATATCACAACTACCAAATAGACAAATTGATCAGAACTAGGTTCTGTTAATAATATTATAATTCCATTATTTTCCCTAATCAATAGCTTACTACCTACTTATAATTGTTGCTCGCTTGCTCGAGATGAATGCTTGCTAGAGCTAAGATGGAATTCGTTCCATTTTTTGTATGTGTGGACACAAGCATCTGCTTCACTTGGTTCAAGTGGATCGATTATTTTCCTGTTGCGAATAGGTCGTCGATTCAGCCTCGCTTTATTCTCACGTGCATTTTGCTAAAAAGATGATCCAATCTCGTCTCATTTACAGATTTTGGAAAGATTCAAGTCGGCTTTATTCTCTATGGGTCTCTCTTCCTTAAGATATATTAGATCAGATGAAATACCAAAAAATGCATCATATCTTTTAGGTATGATTAAATAGGCTTCTGACTAATGCTGAATACTATATACTGTTATACATCAGTACCCGAACCATATTCCCAGAGAGTCTTAAGAAAGTGAATAGTCATATCAAGAAGTTGGTAATTCTAAGTTGGAAGTATCTGTTGATAGCCATGTTGGTTAGAGATTATCTCACCAGAAGGCCATCCAAAGGATTCTTCATGGCACAACAACAGGGTGGCTGGAAACATTAGGTCTTATACTTGTTCACTATTATGTTGAGGACTCTTTCGTCACAGTTTTCGGCCCTGTTCAGAAATTGGTTGGTAATGCGGCCTCCAAGACCTTAGGTAGGGAATTGCCTAACCATTAATAGAGGTTCTTTCGCGGTCTACGAGCCATTGGCCTGATCTGTTCATATTTGTTTTAACGTCGAAAGGCATGTTGGAAGGTTATCAGTTGCGACTCTACTTACAAAGATTGATATATTTAAGTATAAGAATGACAGGACTGCCATGAAAATGTAAATCAAAACAACATCCCCTTTAATTACTCAATCATCATTGCTATGACTTACTAGTATCAAATTCATTATATTGACTTTCATTTGCTAGTATCCAGTGCTTTAAACACCGTCATACCCTCAATAATCATACTGTTACAAGCGTCAACATGCCACACAATCCAGCTAGCCAAAGGGACAAATCCGGCAGAACTCCACGACCAACAACAAAGCCTCCGGGCGACAAAAGGGAAGGCGTGATTCTTCTCTTGGATCATTCTCGGATGATGAATGACAGATCATGAATCGTGAAGAGTTTGATAGAAATCTAAATTCTAATGCATCTATTCAAGAATAACTTTAAGAAAAAAGATGAAGCTCTCGCGAGACAGGCCCCTCCACAGAACGAATATGGGGATTTCTTGGGAAGCGAAGATTCTGGAGAGTGTAGGGATATTAGGTCAAAAACTTTCAGAGAAGAGGAAGAAGAAAAAGGCGGAAGAGGGAGAAAAAAGCAAAGGGAGATGGAGGAAGCGTGGGCGATGGCCCCCCCTCCCGCTACTTCCCATCCTCGACGCGGCAATGAATCTGGAGAAACCCCTTCTCGCAGAAACATATCATCTTCTCACAGAGAAAGAGCACCCTCCTGGTACAGAAAGAAAGTCTACCCCTGCTCGTTCTGAACCTAAAACACACCATCCCGCTCCCTCTCGCACAGATGCACCACAACTTGCCGCGGCCCCTCGTAAGGATAAGACACCTGCCAGAGGGAAAGAGAGCGAGGATAGTAATGTTAAAGCCATGTCTGACTTAAATCTATCAGGAAATTCCTCCAAGGAACCAGTCAGTAACAAAGCTGGAAAAGCACCCGAATCCAACGCCCCAGGCCGTGGTAGCAGTGCTAGTCAAGTCCCACAACTTAATCCTGGCTCCCCGAAGTGTTACAAAGTCATACCTGATGTTCATTACAAATTCTCAAAATTCGCCAACAACTATAAGGACAGATCGTTACACGGCGTCGGTCGCTTGTGTGCCAACTTCTAAACGTTGCAAATATGTTTTATTTCAAGGAAGAAAAAGAAGTTAAAGATCACATTGATGAGAAGCATCGAGATGAGGTTTGTGGTTTTATTGGAGATCGGGATGATAGAATAGAACATAGGAATACGTGTCGGTATCATGTAGGTCATGTGAAGAAAAGCGAAGTATGACGCTTATGTAGCTCGAAAGGAAAAGAAAGCAGATGGGGAAAGGTCAAGTGCTTCAAAGAACGCTGAGAATTCAGGGACTGGTAAGAGTTCATCAGGAGATCATAGAGACAGCAAACGCAAACGAACTGCTGGAGGGTAAGTAGTTAGTTGGTGTGAATGGCTTTGGGATAATAGAATATTAGTGGTTGATGGGTAGGCGTTAGGCGTTTTCCCTTTTGGTGGTCAAGTATTTAGCATCAGCATTATGAAAATCGATAAAAAGGGTGTACCAACAGATTGTCTCTAGATCCCATGCGTCGTGATTAGTCAAAATACACTCGTGACATCTCGCAGTTGAAACAGGCGTTTTGTTTACAACTTCAAAACTGTAAGATGATATTGGTATCAAATACCACTTTGTCTTCGATAGGTCTACTGATATCCTATTGTTCCTTATGTTTAAGGTGAGTACCTCGACTCCACCACATGCACTATTTGATAGTTTGCCATATGCATGAAAAGCTATCTATTCCTTTATAATACCCGAAGCTAGAACTCAGTCTCCAATTTAGGGATTACAACTCTCAGATTCTTTTCCAATTTCCACTTTGTTGCATCCCTAAGAAATCTCATTGTCATATGAAAAGTTAACTCAATCTCCTGGATCTCTTAGGGTTATTTCACGTGTAAACTTCATCACACATCACACACTAGCACATTCCTCTAGCTCGAGGATTCGGTTGTTGTTTTCCAAAAATTGGATGTAAATTAATAGACACATTATATCGAATAGTGCCATGTTGGATGTCAAATTACCAGATATTAGATACTATACACGATGTTCCAATCCTAACACAACAGCATACCTGGTAACCGCGGTACTAGCTTTTGGCTCAAACCATCTCGATTTCCAATATATAGATAAGTAACGCTAAACCTCTCAGCTGTTGATTCCAAAATTCTAAGAAGCTAGCATATATAAAAGCGCTAGTCATATCAACTATTTAAGCTCAAATGGCATACTCAACCACAAATTTGATATTCCTACATCTCAACAACACAATTATGGTAGCAAAGAAAAACTTAGAAAACTAACCACCTAAAGCATAGAGAAGCCTAGTGGAAAATTGGACAAGCCAAGCATCTTGTATCTTCGCAGTGAAGTGTCAAGAGATGGTATATCATCATCTAGAACCCCACGTAGAGAAACGAAGAATCAAGACTACTTGATAGATAAAATAAACAGGTCAGATATTTCGAGATGAGATTAAGATTTACTATTAAGGATTTAGACGAGTGATAATAAGAACTATAAGATACTAAAAACTTGAAGAAAAAGGGTGATAAGAGAAGAGCAGTGGATGGAAGAATGGTTAGGCGCAAGAGAGTATCAGACAACTAAACAAGAGTATTTATCTAAAGGAGATGAAAGAGAATTGCAGGTGCTGGAAGATTTATTCAGTACTTGAGATTAAGCTTGAGGTTGAGTTCGAGGTTGATGGAATTGAGACTCAACATGAAGAGAATGGTAGGAAGGGAAGAGATTGAAGATGAAAGGGGTGGGGGGTATTACTATTCAGAGAATGTGCTGAGAAACAGCAATAATCAGATTTAAGTTCCCTCCGAGCTGAGAAAGTTGGACGATGTTAACATAATAGTAGTGAACAGCTGATGATACATTCGCAAAGAATACACAGTATTGAAAAGTTTGCATTTAACACCCCCAAAAACTCCATCAATGAAAAGACTCAACACCCAGGTTCTAAACACCGGTAAAGTATCCAGAATCATACATCTAATCATTTCTTCGTATGTTCACCCTCATCACTAGCAATAGAACAGTGTTTCCCCAGTCCAAACAAGATCCCCACAATCCCCAATACGAACCTCGCTCTCAGCTCTCCCACAAAACCAACACCCAACCAACAGAGACCAACAAGCATTCCCAAGGCTGATGCGGCACTGTACATGCCGAAGTGAGATTTCTATATCCAACACCAACTAACTTTACAGTAGCGCACTTATTATATGCAATGCGTATAATAAGCGGGCACTGGTCCCCAACATTTGTTTTCACTTCCCTAAATCGAATATATCCATCTTTGTAGAATAAAAAGTTACCTGCTAGAGCCTCTAGAGGCCTAGCCGTCCTATATAGTCTTAGACTGAACGTGGACGTAAATGAAATCAATCAATCAATTTACAGTAGCGCTCCAAGGCTGAACATAGTAATATTATCTCTGCGTGGAATGAAAGAATTAACAGGTGTACGTTTATGATTACTACGTCGGTGTTTTAGTTTGTTAAAATCGTTGGTGGCGCGGTATGAGTGATTATTGAGGGCCAGAAGTATGAGTTGTATTCAGGGTTAGAAATCTTGAGATGGTGTGGTAAGATGGATTTGTCTTTCACGTGAATGGATTTACAAATTGCAGTGGGGTGTTTGTTTCTGTAAGTGATAAAGAAATGTGTTACTTCAATAGGAGTATCTTCGTCTCGATTAGTGAAAGTGAAAGCTTCTCATCGAACAGCAAAATAATGCCAATTAATCTAATGCGGAGTTTCTAATAGTTCGGACTGTGTCCCGACAATGGAGCACTTGAAATACCTAAATCCAACCAGAACACTCAAATGATCTGAAATGTTAAAGTAATTCTGAATGTTAGATCGCGTTGAAACATTAAAGCGTCAATCCAGCCCATTGAACACACCGATGTGATAGCGGTAACTGTAATGGCACAATAGCACAAAGACTAATATTATGAGACACCTGCATTACATTCCGCAGTTCCCGGCACTTGTCAATCCTCGATAAATGCTGTATTCGGCAGTTGGGGACCTTGGAGCGACCAACTGTTATGCCATCACAGGGTTTCAGCGCGGCTATCCAGGTATAGAAGCGTTGGTGTATGTCACTACGCGAGCTGATACTGTTCAGCTTGAAAGTTGAATAATATTGAATGTATTGGGCTCGAATTTGAAGGGCTTGAATATTCCTATCACGCAGGAACAATACTTCTCATTCTGAAAAAAAGTAGGCACCATAACGTAAAAGGAGCTCCTTATCGTGAACATCATAAACGGGTCTCAGTGTGGAGGCATCGACCTTGTTTGTGCCTCTGACAACCTGCGCGTTTAGTGAAGCCGCGGAGAGATTAAGTAGCGCAAAATTATTTTGTGCATGAGAACCATATATTGCCATGTGATGCAGCATACTTTGGTAATAATTTCACTCGTTGAGACACTTCTCAAAATAGTTTCATTCGATGCTATGCGGCTCAAGTGAAATTTTGGAGAAAACATACACAATCGGATAGTCTTTTCCCAACCATTTCAAGACACACATATGCTGGGATCACTCCCAAGAAAACAATTTTTCTCAAGTTGTGATCCAGACCGTGTTTTCCCCAACCTATCATCACAACAGCCAGCCTTGTGCTCCGGACGCCACATTCAAACCAGGCTGCCCAAGCGCCGGGGTTGAATATCACCGAGTAGATTGTGACAACATGTGTGATTGTGTTCACAGAGAAATTCCACAACACAAATCATTGGGGGGCCTCAAATGGATGGGCCTTCTGATAACGATTGCCATGTCTTACATTGGAACGTGGATGGGTAAACCCGTTACACCGAGCCTTGTTACACGTGCAGGCAGAAATGGTTCGTGCCGTGCAACCACAGATGCGCAAAATGTTATACGCACTGCAGTATACAATTTTACAGCGTGGCATTATGATTGCTCGTATTCAGGCAATAGATCCCTTGCGTCAAAATGCAGAGCAACAACTGAATAGAAAACTAGATAAAATGGACACGAGAGAAAAGACAACGAAGAGAATGATGCTCTTCCAAATTGTCTCGTGATTTAGTTGACGATGAATACCAACATTGTGATTATTGATGTTGTGTGATGATGAACTTTGTTAGGATAAGTTTCAAACTTCTCAATAGCGCTGTCTTATTTAGGATGCGGATCAGATTGGCTTACACGCCCGGCTTGTGAGACCAGGGGGAATAAACGTTGAGCAAGATCAAGTAAGGGCTGGGATTTTGACTCCAGCTACTTCTCGGAGTGGCTTGACGGGCGTACAATGTTCCAGAAAAGAGCGGGTGGGGCTATTTTCTGCAGCCTTCGTGATGTGCATTATTAAGAATAAAGTTTCGACAAGAGGACTTGAGAAGCATATCATTCCTGATATGTCAAGACATCAATGTAAAGGAGAGATAATTGAAGAATCGTACTGTATCATTGGTTCTCACACCCCACCACTATGGCTCGGCTGGAGGCATGTAATATTTTGACTTTGTATGCCCGCCGCTGCACGCCCAAGTAAGGCCAAGAAAGTGAATCTTACAGCAACATGAAAACAGACTATTTCCATCGATGATCACGCACTGGCTGCTTCAATGGAAAAGGGAATGACGTACATGAAAGTCTCAAGTAAATCGGTACTACTGATGTTGATCAGGTACTGACTCACAGAAATAAGAATGAGAACCTTTCAAGATGAACATGAGGGGTAAATGTGAAAAGGCTCGTGACACGGTGACAGGATCTTAGGTGTCTTGATATGGGTCCTCGAGTATACATAGTGGGGACAATGAAGTGGGATGATAGGGAAGTATATTTTTCCTTCCTGCGCATTTGACGCAATCGAATACTTGGGATCCTAGAGTTGATAGAGAGTCCTCTGACTTGGAAGTGGAGTCTACACCGTAAGAGGCTCGAGAGTCGAGAGGATAAGAAAAGGTGGATATCAATGAACGTGATCTGAATTCGGGTATCAATCTAAAAACAAACAGAGTCCCCGGATCAACGACGACCCCATGGCCATCGACTGTCAGAATGAT